AGTAAATAAATAAAATCTTTAAAAAAATAATAAAGTCCTCTAGAGATTGTCTGAACACTGACTCCCACTGAATATAACTTGTTTTCTTTAACATGAAAGTTTTGGTGGGGCCATATATATCTCTGATACTCCTGAAAATCTGAATTTTATTTCCACAGTGGCATCTTTACATTTGAACAACTTTGAACAAAGAAACTCCATATTTACATAGTGTTAAATGTAAACAACACCTCTTATTTTTAAGCAAAATAATTTGGTCTTATAAACAATTCTGATAGTGACAAAGTATGAAGACTTTCTCTTCATCTGTTCTATTATGGACGAAAGTTAAATGGAGATTGAATTTGGGAGGGGGGATATTAATCAACTGTGCACCTTTGGACAAGTAACTTAAATTCTGGGCCTATTTAATTATCACTCGTGGAGGGGCTGATACAGGCTTGGATGTTTCCCAAGTCATTTTCAGCTCTACCATTCCCAATGTCTAGGCCAGGGACTAAATCTTAGTACATCTCTGTAATTCCCCTTTTCCTCGAGAATCCATAGAACCAGGCATGGATCCTCCCAGACCTTGTGAAATGAACAGATTTGGAAAGTAAACAAAGTCAGAGGTCACTACTGCCAGCCCCAACCCCCCACCCCACAACACACACAGAGTACATCACAAAAAGTTAACATGCAATCATTCAGAAATTCTTCAAACCATTCAAGGTCAACGACTGCAGCCACAGCATACAGCTCAGACACTGTCCCTGTTCAGTAGTGTCCTTGCTCCCTACCCTTCTTGCCCAGCTCTCCCCAGCCCTATACATACCCTGCCTCAGCAGTTTGGGAATCAGGAGTGAGATACATAATGGAAAACAAAACAAAGATTCTTTATTTTCGAACACGAAATTTAGATTAAAATCACATTTCATTAGTAGAAACCTGTTGTTATTGTTTAACTACTATAGGCCTTCTCTATAAGTTCATGCTCCCCACTATAAAGGGTTTGGAAGTAATTTAGTACTTCGGTATCTCCTCCTTTTCCTGACACTGCTACCTATTGGGCAGTTTTTCTCATCCGGCGGAGGGGGAGATGGAAAGGCACTTAGGAGAGAGACAGCAGTAGCCTGGTCCACACTTGACCATCAGGGTCCCTGGTCTGACTGTCCACTCAGGGGATTGAATTTCACTACCGGGTTCCTGATATCGCCAAGCATCAGGAGCTCCACAGATTCTCTTACTTTCTCCTTTTGATTTTAAAAGTTACTTTTGAGAGAAGTATTTTACTTGGGCAGGAATAATACTCATGGATGACCAAGATTAAATACAAATGTTATCATTATGATCTTTGACGCACTATGTTAAGAGATCTCACCATTTAAAAATGTCTCTTCCAAAACAATCCAAGTGAAAAATGAGCAAAGGACTTGAATAAACATGTCTTCAAAGAATATATACAAATGGCCAACGAGCACAGGAAAAGCCTCTCCAAATCACTAATCCTTAAGGAAATGCAAATTGAAACCACAAAGAGATATCAATTCACACCCAGTAGGATGGCTACTATCGAAAACAAACAAGCAAAACCTCCAGAAAAATAACCAGGGTTGCTGAGGACATGCAGAGAAGGGAACCCTCGTGTACTGCTAGTGAGAATGGAAAACGGTGCGGACAGCTGCTGTGGAAAACAATATGGTAGTGCCTCAAAAATCAAACCCAGAATTCACACAGGACTCAACACTTCCACTTCTGGGTACCCTAAAATAAATGAAAGCAGGAACTCCAATGGGTATTTGCACACTTAGGTTCACAGCAGCACTATTCCCAATAGCTAAAATGCGGAAGCAACCCAGTGCCCACCAAACGCAGAGACGAAGTGTGGTGTATTCACACAGTGGAATATCATCCGGCCTAAAAAGGAGGGAAAGTCTGACACATGCTACAACATGGAGGAACCTTGAAGACAGGTGCTAAGCGAATTAAGCCAGTCACAAAAAAGCAAATGCTATATGATTCCACTTATATGAGGTATCAAGCATAATCAAAATCATAGAGACAGAGAGCAGGAGGGTGGTCGCTGGGGGGCCAGGGGGAGGAGGGAATGGGGAGTTAGTGTTTAATGGGGACTGAGTTTCCCCATAAAACTCCCCAATAAACTCAAACTTCTCAGTCTAAGAAGGTGAAATGGATTTAGAGATGGATGGCCGTCATGGGTGCACAACAATGTCAATACACTTAATGCCGTAGAATGATACACTTCAAAATAGTCCAGAATAGTCCAGAAATTTTGTAAAAGATATATTTATTTTGCTACAATAAAACAAGTCTCCTGGAACTTTTGTGATAGTGGCAAAGATTAAGTGTCTGCTAACTTTTCCTTATGCCACCCAGGAATGAAAAATGACATCTGAGTACCTACTGTATCCCAGGTCCCCACATATCCACAACAAAGCAAAAACCAAATAAAAATCACCCCCCCCAACAGAATCAAAACAAAACCCACCACCTTGACTAGGGACTATTGAACCCTCTTTACAATGAAAAAGCTAAGGTTCATAAATTAACACCCTAGGTTAAGCAGCAGGATTCAAAGGCAAATGTGCCTGACTCTCCAAGCCTGCATTCCATTTAGTCCATGATGTTATTTTCTTTTACCCACAATTGTCTTTTTGAACCGGCTTTCTGTTTTGAGTATAAAGTCTTTACACTTAAAAGTTGGGCCTGCCTTCAGAAGTAGGCTAAAAAAGTCAGTGGACCAAATACATTCACTATGTTCCTACCACATGAGGCCCAGGGCTGGCTATGAAATAATGGAGTCATGTTTCCTCTCAGCCATTGGCCATATGGCAGGGGGAAAAAAAACACACATTCAATTAAAATTTCAGTGTTGGTGGACTCCCTCAAAAGCCACTGAGTACCCTGGGCAAAAGCATTATGCCTTTCAATATTCCATATGGCCGCAATAAGTGGAACTAGTCTCATTTTACAGCGTAGGAGCATTTTCATCTTTTTCCTAAGCCTTCTACCATTGCAGTTACTGATCTGCTGTTACTCACTAATGTTGTGCCTCAAGCTGGAATTAAACAATTAAGGAAATGTTTTTTGTGCTATGCAGAAAACAGGCACTTCTTAGTTGTTTTCCAAAAGAGCAGGGGGCTCTCTTGACTCTCCAGTGCCTGTGGGTCAAGGTTTTATTTTCTTACCCTTGTGCTAAACACGCAGAGAAGAGGCACGCAGATTGTCTACACACCCCTAAACACAGCCGAGTGTTGGCGTTACCTAGTGAACACAGCTGGTAGATGAGTCAGTACCAGAGGATGAGCCCATACTCATTCATACAGCCCAGGTTCCCAACTTTCTACTTCACGTAATGACAGGCAGCTTGATGGGAGGACTCCAGTTAGGGGCTTTCTGGATCCCCAATCTGGGCTAGACCCCCTCTCTGGGCAGGTATCTTCACACATTTTACTAAGAAGAGGCAAGTGGGAAGTGGAGCTGTGGAATACGTGGCATGACTTGTTTTGCCCACAGATTTGATTAAATGCAGTGAATCTGTCAGGGGAGTTCCACGGTTTTGCCTCTGTAGCACAGGTTTCATTTAATAAGGCACCTCAGAGAAGTAGACATTGCTTTTCCTCCAGTACCAAAATATTCTTCTCTCTCAAAATGTGCTGCTACACTACAAATTTTGAGAAGCCAAATTAATTTCATAAAATAGCATTAAAAAAAAACCCCTACAGCTCTTCCCAGTAGACAGTGGTGACAAATGAGGAGGCACATATACGCTCAATGGCTTATTTAGTGTTTAAAAACCTCTATTTTAAGAATTTATTAGTGTCTAAATCTGACCTTTTTATTATTTTACTCCACTGTGAGTTCTTTTTTTCCTTTGAAAATCTATCTCCTTCCATTCTATTAACGAAAAAAATAAAACCTTTTATCAATGACTATTTACTGATTAACTGTACTTTCTTTTGGAGACAAAGCTTAATTTTTAGAACCAGCTACACTAGGGTATTAAACTCTTTCTCCTACCTATCATGTCAAAGGACTCCACGATTTCCTTTCTTATCCATTGGACTTATTTAATACACTTTTACATATCATTCATAAATATGAACAAGTCACGGTCACAGACTCTCATTAAGAGCATCCCTTGCTCAAGAAAATAAAAGAATAAAAACCACGTTCTGATTTTACTATTTCAGTCTGTCTGTGCTGTATATAAGTAAGGAAACAACCCAGCCACGTTTTTATTTTTTGTTCATCACTGAGATTAGTATGTATCTTAACCTAGAGATGAATAAAATCCATGTAAACATAAAATCCAGGTTTATGCTGGTATCTCATTCTGGACAAGCGAAACCTGCCACCCTCCTTTGAGAAAGGATGCAAGTTTAGAAGACCGACTGGCAAATTGTAGCTGTTTCTGAGGTTATATTGAAAGCAGCTGCACAGAGCACAGGGGAAAAGGCACCGTTTTTTAATGGTAAGTACTGCCCCTCACAATACGCAATTCTTTTGTTGGCAAATTCTGAGTACAAAAGGATTTAATACCCCTATCCCTCCCCCAAAAGAAGCCAAATCACAGTCATTAGCTGCAAAACAGATGATACCCCCGCGCAACGTGTCGGAGAGATAATGCAATTAGCATTTTACTCGCTCACACCCCTGAAAGAGGACTGCAACGCTCAGATGATCAGCGCGCAGCTCCACAGCCCCAGCTGATTCCACTCAGCCCTGCTTTTCTTCCGAGAGAACTGTGCAAACAGCTTCTTACATTTGGCGAGTTTTCCTGACCGGTCGGTCACCAAAGATAAGCACTAGGATCGTTTTCTTTTTAAAGCAAATGTGGTCATTCTCAAAAGCTCTTCCCACAAGAACCCATCTTAATCATTTTTCCCAATCCTGAAACAATGTCCCTATCTTCCCTTAGAAATCTGCGTGTAAAACCACAGGCGATGGTCATTTTACTCACTTTAAAAAAGAGCGACACTGAAGAGCCTTTCTCTTACCTTGGCTCTGAGGCTGGTCAGAGAAGAGTGGCTTTTCTCCTGTCTCCCAGCCGGTCTGTGCAGGCGAGCTCCGGCGCAGCCCGCCCAGCCCAGCTCAGCAGTAGTAGGAGCTGCCCACAGAGCAGCGGCCGCTGTGTGTATGTGTAGCAGCTGCGCCTGCAGCCCAGGGACTAGTCCCCACCCAGCTTTGTCTTCAGTCATCGTTCTTTCTACAGGAAGCAGCACATCTCCCACTTCCTCCTCTTCTTAGTAGCTGCAGGCTGCTTTCTTCTTTCCATCTCATTCCATTTCAGGGCTCGCTAGCAGTTTCACCTTTTCCTGGGCTACTGACACAACTTGACTACGAGAAACTAGCCCCTTTATCCCTTTGTTCTAAATTTCTTTGGTGGTATCTATCCCTTCCTTCCCCTTCCTCATTCTCTCGCCCTCACCTCCACGACCTACCGCCTTCAACACGAGCGGCCCCCTTGTCGGCACACAGTTTGCTTTCTTAGCTTGAACTTGGCTTGTTTTCATTGCTGTTGCTGCTGCTGCGGTGGCTGTTCTTTTGGGGGTGTCAAAAGCCGCTGGCCAGGTTCTGGCCCTGAGATCCAGCACCAGCCTCAATGGCTCCTTCTGATTCACTATAGTCCTTTTCAAATGAGTTAGCGGGAAGCTTGCAGCGCCTTGCTGCACCATTTTTCTCTGGGCCAACATTCTAGATGACTAATTTCTCTAAGGTCCCACTACCACTGAAATCTTGCTTAACCCACATACTCAGAAAAGAATGACCCCGATATGTATTCTTGTGGGGCGCAGGAGCTAAACCAAGTCCTGCAATGCTACCTGTAGCCTAACAGTGAAGACATATTGCCAAGATTCTTGATGGTGGGAAGGAAGGACATGGTCCTAAATGTTATACTGTTCCAGCCCAGAAATAGAGTCCTCTCCTGCACCCCCCCAACACACTGGTGGAACTGAAAGGACCTACAGAGTCCTTGCCAGTCACTTTCGTAGGTGGTGCAGCATAAGGGTAGAGACTGCAGGAAATCTCTTCAATCCATCAGGATTTAAATCTAAGCTGTCATTACTGACTTTATGAGTTGGAAAAATTATCTAATTTCCACTTGCCTCGATTTCCTCATCCGCAAAATGGAAATGACTACACTCATACCCCACAGTAGAAATGAGGAATTAAATGAGATGGTATGCAAAAAGAATATAATAATTCCTGGAACACAAAGTGTTTGATACATACTAGCTCTTATTATATTTAGAGGAAAGTGAAGCCCAGGGAAGGCTAGTGACTTCAGCAGTCAGCAGCCAAACTGGGACAGTACTTGGTTTTAGGATTCCCCTCAGTTAAATATCAGGACTACACTCAGACACTCCTGGTGGCAGCTTATTCAGCTTGCAAGCCATTCTCCCCGGATACCAACACAAGGTGCTCAGCAGAAGCTAGAGGATAAAACACAGCTGGGGGCAGGGAATCCCAGTGTCCAAGCTGCACTGTTAAGAAACCTCTGCTGCGGAGTCAGTGACTGGAAAGGTAATTTACCCCTGCAGGAGTTAATTCCCCAAATCCACTTTTTAAATCCAGTCTTGCCTTAACTATTCCAGCAAGTAAACTAGCAGGAAATGCTGGAAGCCTAGAGCTGATGAAGATAACTGGATTATCAGGTAAGTCACCAGGTAAGTCTTCCTAAACCACCTTGGGGACTATAGCACATTAGCCCACAAGGCACAACATTTTAATTTCTATAAAATGTTCTGAGGTGAGTCCCAGGACACCCTTTATTTTCATTTGATGTCTCTTGAACAGAGGTTGTTTATTTCTTCCTGGAAATCATATCAAAAAGGACCCTGATGTCAACTCACTAAGATTGGACAATTATAAACAGATTGTGTTTTTATTAAAAATGAGTAACTACTTTCCTGGCTGGTGTGGCTCAGTGGATTGAGTGCTGGCTTGTGAACCAAAGGGTCACTGGTTTGATTCCCAGTCAGGGCACATGCCTGGGTGCCAACCACACAATTGATGTTTCTCTCCTCTTTCTCCCTTGCTTCCTCTCTCTAAAGATAAATAGAATCCTTTTTTAAAAATGAGTAACTACTTTTGAACCACCAGCAAACAGAATTTTTGTAGTTGAAGAGAACCAGACATAGATTCCCAGAGCCTCCTGTAACCCAATGAAAGTCAGACATGAATTGCCTCCAAATCAGGAATCTGGAGGTGCAAAAGGTTACCAGCGGCTTTTATATAAAAGTTTAAATATGTATGATACTAAGTCTAAGAAAAACGAGAAGCAAAATTATTAATGGTTGGAAAAAAATAGAGAAACAAATCTTTGGTTAATTTTAGACTAGTAGTTACTGGCATTAACTCGATACAAATAGGTCTTTTTCATTTTTTTAAATCCTTTCTCTGTCTCTCTCTCTCTCTCTCTCTCTCTCTCTCTTCCTTTCTCACGAGCTTCTCAACCATCAGAGAGCGGTTGAAACTTATTTTTTTGTTGTTTAGATAGGAAAATCTCTCTCAGACAACAGCATCTCTAGGTATTTGGCTGCCTTGTGCTCGGTTCTTCCTCTGCGGCCCTTACAAAACTCTCCGTGCGTTAACCTGGTCATTGCTGGGAAGTGAAGACTAGATTTTAAGGTCTTTCTCTTCCTGTCATTAACCTCGTTGCTTTCAAGTGGTCCCAGTAGCCTCCTTCTCTGAAGAGAAAAGAAAAATGTGGGGGTGTAGACTGGCTAAGAGAGAAGATTGATCCAGTTCAGAGCTTCACACAAGCGTGTTCAGTCGGCATGCATACGAAGTCTGCAAAGTGCTTATGTCTTAGGAGATGCAGTTACACCTCATCACTAACAGTTCGTGCCATCAGTAATGAAGTATGAACCTATCCTGGGTACACTTTATCAATGCATAAAACAGAAGCCTGTAAAATACTCTAATATTCATTAGTGTTCCTATTTGTAGGCACTGATACCTGTATTTCTCACCTGGTAGAAGTGGGAAGTAATAAAGAGAACATCATTTTGGCCTGATATCTCTCCAGCATTTTGAGCATTCTGGCTGGATGCTCCTTGGAACTCCTTAATATGAACATCCCCAAATTAAATCTACTCCTTCACCCAAAGCTTATTCTCCTTTCTCTATTACCATTCATTGAATGAGGAATGCAAGCCAGGCGTCCACAGCGGGACTCTGAGAATGATATCAGAACCATTTATCTTTGTCACCCCAGGTCTGATTTAAAGGTCCTCATCCTTTCATTCCCACCAAACTATCTCTTTGACCAACACCCACCTCTGCCTTCTCTTAACCCTGCAACTGTCTCAGTACATAAGTGACCGCCATATTCCCTCTAGCCTCTCTCCTTCACCAGGACCACTAGAAGTACACATCTGAAATGAGTTGAGCATGTCACTCTGCCCACCTAAAATTTTTCACTACCGCCCCTCCCCATAGCTTACAGGATACGAATTTTAATTCCTTTGCATGGCATGCGTAAAAGGCATTCTGAAATGGTATGCAACTACACTCTAACTTTATTATCTAATCTGTTGCAACCCCACACCCACCCATCCCACATCCACCTTTACGGCAGGTTTCTCATGGAACCATGCTCTTTTGTCCTCTACATCTTTCCAGATGCTCTTCTTTTTGCCAAACACGCCCTATTCCTTCCTCCATGTTGTCTCCTGGCAACCCCTGCTTACCCTGGGCAGACTCACCTTCCCTCAGAAGACTTCCCTGACCACAGGAGCAGGGCCTGGGCCCGTACCTTGATCTCCATTTCTCAACTAACTGCATTGTTTTAATGAGTTGCTGTATGTCCACCTCACTCATTATTTGAGCCCCGTAAGGCTAGGGCTACATTCTAGTCATCGTTGCTTGTCGCATACGAGGTATTTAAAAGGTTTTATATAATGAGAAGACATTATTGGCAGAAATTCCAAAACTGCTTTTGTATGAGAAGATGGCCATGGGATAAGAAAGCGCCCCTACCCCCCATTTTTATTTATTTAGTTGTTGTTGTTTGCAAATTGCAGGAAACCACAGTACCTGCTTGCCAAATTCTATGTATCTGCTATATAGGTAACCCTAAAGAATCCTGGGGCAACTCTTGGTTCTGTTATGCAGTGAATTGCTTATAAGAAGAAAAGTCTGGGAATAAAAAGTGATTTTAAAAAATAAATTTAAAAAAGGAATAAAAAAAAAGGAAAGAAAACTATTCTCACTTGCATTTCTGGATGAACTTTAAAGAGATGAATTTATCAGCCAGAAACACTTTTCACATTCCCTCCTGCACTCTCCAGTGTTGCCGCCTCGCAGCTGTCCCAGAGCTTCTCATATGTCAAATCCTCCAAGTCTTCCTCTAATCTCTTTACACCCTTACTCCTCGCTCTCTCCCCCACCCTTGCCATGCCCAGCTAGTTCTTTACTCTTTTGATTGACTTGCCTTTTCTGGCTAAGACCTCCCTACTTTCTTGGCCGTGTCTCCACTGTGGGCTCTACCATTTCTTATTATATTTATTCGAGGGGAGCCACAAACTGCACCAGCAACGCCACTCCTTGGGGGCTGTGTGTGGGCTGCGATGAAGAGGGGAAAGTGAAATGGGAATAAGGTGGAATTATATATTAATAAATCTTGTCCACTCATACATCGATCATGCATTTAATGACTTGCTTAATTGTGCCAAACAGTAATGAAAATAAGTAAATCATTGAGCTATTATTTTATCACGGAAAAACCAGAATTCCAGGCATTTTTTGGATCAGCTCAAGGAAATAGAAGTCTCTCTGAAGACTTCTTCATGAGGAGCAATAATCATGATATGATCCATGTGTCACAGAATCGTTTCCTCCCCCCAGACATCTGAGCCAATCCCCAGCTGTTAAGCGCCAAGAAGACTGAATCTTATTTGGTTTACAGAGAGTCAGGGGGTGCACTGAGCAGAACTAATCTTTCTTAAGAGAGAAGCATTGACCCTCACAATTGAAAACTGTCAGTCCCTGTCTCATAGCCCAGCATAAAAGCTAGTATGTCAAGGGGGTTCCAGAGTGGCAGCCAACTGTTCCTCCAGAGAGGGCAAAGTGTTTGAGGCAAGAGTTCTTTCCCTTTGCCCTGGGCAGGACTAACTAGGGGATTAAGTGGAATGGTGTGAAGCCCACCACCCGCCCCCCACAGATT